CTCTAAGAGACTTCATAAAAGTTCCTCGACTGGCGAATAGGTCCGCAGATGCCACATGTTCGTACATGCCGTTCACTTGTCTCGGTAAGCGACAAAACATTCCGGCCCTTATCGTTTCCACCCTTGCGGTGGGTTCCTGCAGTATCGCCCGTCCTCGAGTCCGCCTACATGGAACACACAATCCAAACATCCCAACAATATCGGTGGACCTAATGCGACCAGAGAACACCGAATGAAGAAAAGTGAGATCGCGCTGCACCAACCTTGCCCGAATACAACTCACACCAAAATGAGACAGAAGCTGATGGTAATCGAGAGACTGAGAGGGCCGTGTGGAATGAGTTGCCAGCCAGATGAGCATCTTATGCTGGATCCGTTCCAGACGCTGTATATGCGTTTTTGAGGCCCCAGCCCATACTATGCTACCGAATTCTATCACAGAGCGAACGTGGGCAAAATCAGATAATCAGAAGACCGCCGCTTTCATGGCGTAATTAATTGGCTAACGACGTTTCCGGCGCAGTTATTAACTGCGTCGTCACCTGGTGACATGATGGCATCGTTGTTTTTTTACGTCTCACCGCACCAGGGTGAGTATTAACAGCTCCAGTCCTTCGCGACCCAGTGCGGTAAATGTCAGACGCAGGGTCCCGTGGCCGCGACCGGCGCGACACTCCTGAGCTTTATTGACCACTCAGGGCAGCTAATTCGCGCTGCACTCAGTGAGGTAGGTAGGGTCCATTCAACAGGCCTCAGCTAATGAATGGCTTTATGGCTATACAGGCGTTCGACGATGGTGAGCAAGATCACAGCTGTGTTCTGAGAAAGACTATTGTGCATTGTGAAGTGTGAGCGCGGCGAGGAAAATGCGCGACTCAGCGCCATGCCTTCCTGCAACAAACATCCAGCTATGCTTAAACAGCTGATGATCAAATCACATCGCTAGTCGCTAGACGCTCGTGCCGTTCTTGTCTAGAGGTATGCATATCGAGTCGAGCTCCCCCATGTTAAAATATCTCGCAATTCGATATACGATATGCATAATGCAAAGATGGTCGTGGAATCGGTCAAGCCTCACGTGACTCACCAAACGGTGAACCCTGCATTTCCTCGCCCGTAAAACTTCGCTCGTGTGGTATCACGCACACGACCTTCATCCGTCCCGAGCAGAGTTTGTGAATTACTGCCGATAACACAGATAGCGACTCACGCATATCACGTCATACCTATTCGTATGTGTACTTACGCACGTACTTTAGACTGTAGAGCGATTATACGTCGTTTGAGTGTGTGCAGATTTACGTCATGCAGAGGGCACGGAGAATACAGCAGGCACGGAAAAGGCAGCGGGCCCGTAGAAGACAGCGGGACTATCGCATTCCCTCTAACTGACGGCGCTACCAGTTTCCGTAGAAGGCAAAGCATCCATTCCACCTCCCTAACTGTCGGTCACGCTGCCTTAGAAGGAGCGAGCTCATTCCATCCCCATCCCCTCTGGACTGACTGACGATGCTGTCCACACAGTCTGCGAACACTGACCGGTGACCGTTCGTGGTGTGTAGCGAGTTTGACAGGATGGGGACAGTTCGGAGAACTTCAGAGCGGCACTCGCCTGCTCAGCGGGGTACCTCTGGCACTAACAGAGGACGAGCCAGGAGTCACGGGACCGAATTTCGGAGCTGCGTGCCGCTGATGTCACGAGATTAGCGCCAAAGTTGTACGGGAAGACGTCCACGCTAGACACGGAAAAATAGATACTGAACGGGAGGGACATCAAAGAACCGAAGGAAAATCAGTAATGGATTCCACAGCACACTTGTAGCTAGGTATATGTTTATCTGTCTTGACTCGTGGTCATATAACTAGTTCGTGGCACTTTCATCGCAACTTTCTACACTTTTGATGAAATCTATAATATGCATCCCTTTTGTCTGCTGACGCCTTGCAACATAAAAACAACACCTTTGATCTGGCTAGGCTCATCGGTGCCAAGTGAGGGAAAGTGCCGCCTGTCCGCACCTGCCCTCGAGGCTCACACCCGTCCCCGGTCCCATTCGGTGCCACCAACACCCGAGACGGCGACTCTATTTCCAGCCGGCTGGCCGGGCCAGGGCTCCACCAGGCACAGAGGAAAGCACTCACCACCTGAGCCCCGGGGGAGGGCTGGGGGCACGCGCGTCCGGGAGGGGGGGGGGCGGGTGTCATCCGCCGGTGAGGTGACACTGGAGCAGCGAATATGGTGATTGCCCATGGGGAGTTACACGTCACCTTGGTGCACAACTTCTCCCAGGAATAGCTATATGGAAGATTATCACCTAAATTGATAACTGAATTATTTCATGTCAATGCGTGTGATTACAGCAGCCTTCAATTTCACGGCAGTTTGTATGCTTTTTTCGTAATTCGGAAACAAAAATATGGACGACCTGATGCGGAAAAAGATTTAAACACCAAGAAACCAACCCTTTACCTGAAATCCGCGGTAGGCTTGGATTCGGGCAACATGGCTTAAATTTGACTGCACAACAAAATCGTGTCTAACAGCCCTTACTATAACTACCCAACCCATACCTGTCATGTCGGACACACTCATCCAAGATCGATATCCTGAATGGAGGAACATTGCACTGAACGCTACGGACGAATTAAACTCGTTAGGGGCCTGCCGTTTCTCGTAAGAAAGCAGCAACGTCGATGCCAGCTATTCGAGAAACACAAGACCGAGAGGCTGATAATAATTTTCACTGAGCTGACTAGTCTTCAGGTCCTGACAATTGGTTTATCTCGTGGCAATTCAATAAGACGGCTTGTTTTGATGTCGTGTGACCAGTCCCAAATCCTAAATGGCCGCCTAATGCTGCTATTGCTGCCGAAAATACGAACAATTTGCCTTAATGCTCTGTGTCTGAAAGGGTCAGAAAAATGATTTAAGCTCGTGTTAGAGGGAAACAAGGCTAAAAGTTAAAGTAGCTCGCTTAGCTAGTTTTAGGGTCCGGATTTCTGGGTTTACATGGGCTTCAAGGGGCTCCCTAGAGCCATTAGACATGCCACACACTATCCGGATATTTCTTCGGTTGTTGCAAAATAGCCTCATCAGTCTCAGAAGACAGCAACCATCAATTCTAATCTTGCTGCAGAGCTTGTCACATCTCAAAATTATTTTTTGAATCATGGATGAAAAGCTTTGCTTGAAACACCTTGGAATGTAGGTATACAGGCATGACTTAGTGAGAACGATTTGTTCATAGTCCAGGAAATGTCATTCCAAAGTTTGAAAGATTTTTGGATAACTAAATTCACCGAAAAACGCGCTGAAAGACCACCTGAAATCTTAATTGCGATGAACTCTGCTACTCCACCGTTCAAGCTGATTCATAGGGCGTCAGTGCTAACTCTGTCAGAGTCGAACACCATCGGCCGTATCCGTTCCCATTACAAATCGCAGCTCCATACCTAGTGGTCCCATCTCGAACCACGTCATAACCAGTGGTCCGTCTCCCTCATACCATCATCACCAAACGTCCGTCCCCGTCTCCGGCTCGACAGACAGTACACACCACCGTCCCCCCTCCGTCAGCTGACCGTCCCCTCCCCCTCAGACCGTCCCATTCTGCACCGACCAACAAGTCGGTCGGTCGGTCGGTCGGTCGGTCGGCGGGGCGCCGCTGCGGCACCAGCGCCGCAGCGCGCCACGACGGCCGCGCCGCGCTGCGACAATTGGCCGGTCGATGCGGCGCCGGCTCAGGTGCGCCACCGACCGCCGACGCCGACTATCGACCTCCATGCGTCGCTGGCCGGCCGGCCGACACACGTGCTGCCCCGCCCCCTCCCCCGGAGCCCCGGCCCGCCCCCTCCTGAGCGGCAGGGGGCGGGGCAGGTGGCACGTGCTTCTCGATCGACACGGCACCGCCGGCCGCTCTGACGTGTTGACGCAGTGCTGACGCCGTGATCACGCGGCAGCGATTTGGGTATTGATTTTCAAAACATGACTTTGAAAACTCAAAAGGCTAGAGAGTGGTCAGAGGCAAGTCACACCAGTTCCGCTAAAATGACATCAACTTCAGAACAACAATAAACTCGAGCAGGGGTTCCATACCCGAGCAAGATTCCCATTTCCCACAAAGCTAAATAAGCCGAATGATTTAGCGTTTGAGAACTTTTGCTTTTTGCCGCTATTTTCTTCATGCAACACAAAGTTCAAAGCATGCACGCCACAAAAACATCCAAACTCTAACTTCTGTCACTCGTGGATAATTCATATGCAATGATATGCATATTGCATATCATGGCAATCAGTGCAGTTGTATGTTGAGCGGGAGCGTTCCCACAGCCAGTCGTAAATTATATTCCACTGATTGCATTGGAATTGCTCAGAGCGCTTTCCCACGATATTTCCCGTTTTGCCTCAGCTTAAATATCGATTAATTCATATCCAGCCCGAAAGGACGGAAGAATCCAGTTCCTAACGACTAACTGATAAAAAGGGAGAGACGATTTATTGTGTAATTGAGTGCTGTGATGTCGTTGAATTAAGCGGAAAAGTAACGTCATTTTGTACATTACTTTGGACCTCACTGACTCGGCAAACGGCATGATCATGATCAGGAATGACCAATGACCATTGATTGATCATAGCCAAAGAAATGGATTGCTTATATGCCTCCTGCCCATTGAAATGTATGGAATATGGATCCTGGCAAAAGGTTGCTAAAAAAAAAAAAATACTGGGCCACCGGTGCCACGCATATACCTACTTCCTGATCATATTCAATCGTCTGAATCGCAGATTGATATTTTCGGATTTAGATCAGGGTAGATCATTCGAATATTAGGAAGCGCACACACTTCTGTCCAAAATCACCCTTTCCAAATGAACTAAAAACGATCGGTTTCTGGCGTTCATAAATATACGGGGTATACATACAGTTAGAGAGACCAACCACGTCCGACATTGAGCTTCTTATAATCAATAACAACCTTGGTTCCAAATACCAACCGAATATGTATTAATATGCATTTTTATTGAGTTCTATAAATTATAAAGTGGCGATAGAACAGCGAAACAAGACATACATAAAACACTCAAAAGAACAGAAGAACCAGATAAAGTGACCTTGAGACATGACGATAAGGGAACGTCAACCGTCAGGTGAGCATGAGCAATATCATTAAAATAATGCTATGCAACACCTTTTATCGTCCCTACCAGTGTTCTATATCGCTCAGTTATCTATCCTCGGCTGCACTACCACCCATTATTTCTGCACCATTATACAAGCGATGTCTGGTAACCTTGGCCACAGGCGCCACCGACACCACAATATGACACGTTACAGCCAAACTCGACCCATGTAACCGACCCTCTGCCAGCAATCCGGCGCCAGAACAAACGTCTGTGGCCCAGCTGTATTTTGCTATGTCTGCAAAACCACAAAAAATTCCGGCAAGTTGCATCGGCCCAGCAGGGGCGCTATGACAAGCCACCTGTTGCGTTTGCAGTTGCTTATCCGAACACTTGTTGCCCGGGGCTATTCGGGGTAAGTTTCGCTGTTTGTGTCCGAGGCGTAGTCCCGCCAGAAAGTTTGCTGCGTCTTCACGGTATAGTGGAGTTTTGGTGTCTCGTAGAGTGCCTGCCGTATAAATGTGTGTGTGTGAGGAAAACAGACAGGCACGCCAGCCCCACACGCACGCACGCGCACTCCAATGAGTGGAGGAGCAGGCGAACCGGACAAATAAACAGGCGTTCATCCGACCCTCCACAACCTAAGCAGACACAACCCGTACCGAGAAATTTGGACATGTGTAAAGATAAACAAAAACCGGCCTTAGGTATTTAGTTTACAACATGAGCAACTAAGCGCAAACATTTCATGCAGGATTGGGATCTTATCGGCTAAGTAGAGCAAAAACATTTGGTTTGGCGGCAACCTCATGCAAACAAGTTTGCATGTGTTTTTTTATGGAAATGATAATTTCAGATAAATGATGCTATGATATTTTCCCGGACTAATCTGGCTTCTATTGCCGCAACGAGCCCCATTGTATATGTATTGTATACCCACAAAACTGACAAAAAAATGCAAGGAATTGATGGTGAGCGTTCGCTATCTCTACGAAATGCGACCACCAGTCGAATAATGTGTAAATATTTGCCCTGCACCATGACAGGCCACAGAGCTCCAGCCCTGTTCTTTGAACGGTGCCAAATTTAGATAGTGATTAACGAAAAATATGTAGGTATTTAAGCCTGGTACGCTCATGCACAGTACCTACACATTACACATACCATTCACATTACATACGGATACGCTGCGTAATCCGATACATTTACGAGCATACAAAAGCCACGCCAGCTGCACATACCAACAAAGTACCTATAGCATACCAAAACAGTTGGAAGTGTATGTTGGAACTTGGGACCATTTTCACAACTACAAAGTAATTACTGCATTCATACGTACAAAATACCAGTGATAATTCCGGGCGTCATGCGTAGATAAGCGAACATACCTTCACAGGCATTCAAAGGCTCTGGGAAGTAGCCACAAGGTGGGGCTTGGGACTTGAGTATCATTCTACAACAAGCCATTGCTAGCTCGTTAGTTTGTTCACCGTAGCGATCTGATCAATGACACCTAACAAAAACTTCTTCCTAGCCATAAAGTTCCAGGACAAGGGATGCGACTGAGTTTTTCTGAGAGGCAGTCTACGCACCACGCAGTCAGGCCGGTCGTCATATCCGCTGTCATCCAACTTCGGAAAACGCGGCCTGCTCGTATCAAATTAAAAAGCAACGTAGCCACGGGCTTATGCGATTGTGATCTAGACCGGAGCACCATTTAGGCAATTCATAGATTGAGGTATTCGTCAGATCAGAAAATGTCGGAACTGCATAAAAATGAAAAAAAAAAACTTTTTGTCGCACTTTGTTATCCATTTAGCGCAAGTAAATTGACACTTGACAAGCTCCAGATTAGGTATATTTGATTCCTCAAGTGAGCAGCGAACATATTCTCAGTCCCCTCCCCCCCCGCTGAAGTTTTTCCGGAGGACCCCTGGTGGCGTGGCAGCGCCCGTTCTACAGAAACCATACAATACATGGACCCCACCGAAGGAAAAAACATTATGAAAAAAATATTGACAGACGTTACACAAACCATGACAAGATTACATTGAGTGACACATGGACCTATCACGGCGCCCTGTGTCTCACACGGCGGTCGATGCGGCGTACAAACACACACGCACACACACACGCATCCTCTGCCCATCAATACACATCGCTCAGCGCCCCTGCATGGTGTATCTGCGGCGCACGTCAATACCAATGGACACGTGCTGTGTATATGTTACGGGCCAAGTGCGAAGGCTAGTCCGTTTGCGAACGGACTAGTCCATTCGCGAATGGACTAGGCCGTTTGCGAATGGCGGTCCGTTCGCAAACGGACTAGTCCGATTGCGAATGGCCGGCCATTCGCGAATGGCCTAGGCCGTTTGCGAACGGACGGGTTTGTGGCGTTGCACTTATATAGCCGCCGGAAGCATGGATCCTCGGATTGGGGTACGATTCCGAATGAATGGGGGACCGCTGGTCGATGCAGGGGGGGGGGGGGGGGTCGGAGGGGTCCGGACCCCCCACACACACATTCTTGAAAATATGCCGGTCCGACGCCCCCCCCCCCTCCCCCCACACACACTTTTTGCCACGAAAATCGATCAAGAATAAAATAAAATATTTTAAAAACGATTTTGGTGCATTCTCAAAATAAAATTGTCTAAATCCGAGGAGTTTTCAATATTTGGTGGGGATTACTTTGACTGACCGTCCGACCAGATCCCCTAGTCGAAAATCCGTGGCAACGCCACTGCGTCTATATGTTTAGTTTGTTCTCCGGAGCAGATCTGCGAGCTGGCGCAACTCTGGGTTAAGGTCTCCACACACCTGGTCCATTCGGGATGCGACTTTCCGCTGAACCCTGCACAACGCGGAAATTATAGCAACGTGTTGCCGCTGGCCAGGCTTCGGCCACCGATCTGGATCTGGGGAGGTCAAATATCCCCGTGACCTTCGAACAGCGGAGAGTCGCGTGGTGTGTGGAGACCATTAGTACCGTGCTCCGGGCTCCCCGCTGATGACCCGACCTGACCTTGGTCGAGTTTGTGGCGCTCGATTCATTCTGCTCTGGTGTGGTGTACCGGGACGGTGCGGCTTGTGTGTGGTGAGTGCGGTGCGGTGAGTGTTCGAAAAACTGTTGTGTTGCATTGCATTTAACAATACGCGCACTGAAGGGGGGTTGCTTTCAACCCCCTGTGGTTTTTCACAGATCACGAGAAAACGGCGGCGTGCAGCAAAGCCAAATTTTGTATACCTTTTCTCCCATATTCTGCGCACATTGTGTGAAAATGCTGACTCCAGATGACCTAAGGTCAGGTCACCAGGCCAGGTTAAGTGACGCCGGTTGAATTACCAATACTTTGCACGCATCATTTCACACGGGACTTTGCACATGCGAAGTTGACTTGCCAAGTTGACGTCACTTTGCTGGATATTTCGCACTTGGCCTGACTTCGCACTTGGACTGGGAGCATAAACGCCCGTTCATTCGCAAACGGCCTAGGCCAACTGCAATAACGCACATGGACTAGTCCATTCGCAAACGGCCTAGTCCAAGTGCGTTATCGCACTTGGACTAGGCCATTCGCGAATGGACTAGCCTTCGCACTTGGCCCGCAACATATACAGTCCAGGGAATCACGGATAGGGAGTACCTACTGCTGAGCACAGCACGGAGGCCTTGGGCACAGCACTGCGCCGAGGAGCCATGACATTCGTGCATGCATGATGTATGCTGTTTGCCGGTCACTTGCTGCCTTAGAAGGTAGATCCTACACTGCGATAGACGCTGTTATTGCGGAGTAAACGGAGGCGCTGCAGCGAGGTACTGCGACGAGACATGGCCATTGGCCAGTGGCCAGTGGCCAGTAGAGGAGTTGAAATGAGGAGGATAGAAATGAGATGTAGATAGAATGAGATGCAGGGTAGATGAGTTGAAATGAGATGTAGTCGCCCCAGAGATTGCTAAAATAAATCGTACCATGGGCATGGCCGTACCATGGGCAAATAAATCGTACCATATAGGTGTTGCCGTATTTTGCCGTTTTGGCAAAATACGAGCAATGTTGAAGTGAGACATATAAAAATCTACGGCAATTTGAAACACCAAAATATCTGAATTCTCTTTGAAAGCGACATCACCAGACTCCATCACCCCTGACATTCTGAAGTAGGTACACATGCTATAGCCTGGAAATGAAGAAGTTTCCTGTCTATAACTCTGACGTCCGAAGCCACGTCCACCGGGTGTTCTGGCGGTGCAAATTACGACCGATAAGGTATGACAGGCGACTGAGGGGAGCACACGCCATGCATCTCAACCGGCCAACACGGCCCATGCATCACCCCGACCCTAGAGAAGGGAGGCTGCCGCGGCGATCGGTGGGTTTTGGTCAGCGGAGGACCCTCTGCATTACCAAGAATGGCAGTGCCACCTAGAGCATTGGAAAAATCACATTTGTAGGGTCTTAGATGGTCAGCAGTTTCTAATGTGATATGTATCTGCAGGCTGCAATGCACAATTTACAAGGATCTGAATCTGAATTCAGATAAATTGACTAGTGAATAATGGCGAATAAGTAACTTCATTATCCATCCCTTTCATTCCTGATGGTTCCTACTGAACGGCACAATATGGATTGTCATGCCATGTAAGGCTTTTTAACACGTTTCAATGTGTACACGTACTATCATATGTGTTATCTGAGTGGGATACGACATATCGCTATATGCACACGTTGCATGTAAGGCTGATCTGTCTCTGCGCGACATTCAATCTCGGCACTCGGCGACGTGAATCACCCGACCGTTCAGCTAAGGCCTAAGCCGCACTGCGGGCCCTCCAAGTCTCGCTGGTGATGCATGGCCTTATAACCGTCGCCATGAATAGGCAATTACTTTTTAACGGTGACGTTATGAATGCCGAGGCGCAACCGCTGTTAAATTGGACATAAACGTTTTTACATAACCTATTGTAACCGTTTGTACTGCACACGCGAACTTGTCAAACCATTTGTCTTTCGAAGCATCGGCCAGCATCTCCTGTCCCCATAACACGCATGCCTTATGGCTATGTATTGCTTTTCATGTTGTAAATTGGTAGAACACCTAAAAGCAAACGACATTTACATATATAAATGACATATTCATCTCGTACGGGTCATATCTGTATATCTAAACTACGAGTAAAATATCACGAGCAAAATTAGTACCTACTACCTAGCAGGCTGCCATTGCAGAGCATGAGCTCGCAGCACCGATATTGCTGCCGCTGCCACTCCATATGCTCCTATACCGCGGCCTGCTGACCCCAGGGGTCGAGACTGAGAGGGTGTTGCTATGGCACCGCGTCGCTGTCGTACTGCGGCACTCCCGGTTCCTCAGGCGGGACAGGGAGTGATTTACTGGGGCTTCGCCGCAGTGACGCCAGAATACGCCGCGCTGGGGCTTCGGTCACAGCGCTCTGCCGCAGTTCCTGGTCCAGGGTAACCCCGTCAAACGCCGCAGGGACAGACA